CCCCTCGCTCCCCGCCACGCGCCCCCGGGACGTGCCCCCCCACCTCGCTCACGGCACCACCCCCTCGCTCCCCGCCACGCGCCCCCGGGACGTGCCCCCCCACCTCGCCCACGCCACCACCCCCCTCGCTCCCCACCACGCGCCCCCCACCAGCCAGCACCACCCCCTGCTCCCCGCAGCGCCCCCGGGAGTGCCCCCCACTGCCAGCACCACCCCCTGCTCCCCACAGCGCCCCCGGGAGTGCCCCCCACAGCCAGCACCATCCCCTGCTCCTCGCAGTGCCCCGGGAGTGCCCCCCACAGCCAGCACCACCCCCTGCTCCCCACAGCGCCCATGGGAGCGCCCCCCACAGCCAAAGCCCCCCCCCGCTGCTCAACACAGCACCCCCGGGAGCTCCCCCCACAGCACCCCCGGGATCTCCCCCCTGAGGCAGTGGCCCCCTGCCCCGCTACCCCCACCTCACCGGTAGCTGGGGATGTCCTGGAGGAAGACGACGACCAGCGGGTCGTGGCCCTGGTAGTAGGTGCGGGCGCAGGCCAGCTGGATCTCCAGCGAGCACCACTCGCTCTCCAGGGCGCGGGCGCTCAACAGGCACAGGGCCTTACGGCTGCTGCTCACCCCGCGCTGCACGTTGTCCAGGTAATAGGCCCCGGGGGCGAAGTCGCGGGGCCCGAAGCAGAGCCGGAACCGGGGCTGCCCTTCCTCCTCCAGCTTGGCCAGCAGCGTCCGCACCACCCAGGCCTCGTCCTCGGCGCAGCAGGAGACGTAGGCGTCGTACTGGTAGCCCCGCCGGTCCCGCCGCAGCCGGCCCCGGCCCCAGGCCCGCACCAGGTAGTAGCCGTAGCGCAGGGTCCAGCCCAGCTTGGCCCCGGCCAGGGACCCCGCCAGCATCAGGAAGGTGGCGGTGAACGACCACGCGAAGAAGACGACACCCAGGTCCACCCAGCAGAAGGAGAGATCGTGGGCTTGGAAGAGCCCCTCGCTCACGCCAGGCCCCAGGCAGAGGTAGGAGCCCAGCAGGGCCACCTGGACCCCCGGCTCCGCCGCCGACCAGTTCTGGAACCAGGCGTTCTCACAGGAGCAGGCCAAGGGGTTCCCGGCCACGTCCAGGAAGCGCAGCGCGGGCAGGCCAGCCAGCGGGGCCCAGCTCACGTTGCGCAGCCCGTTCTCCCGCAGCGAGAGCGACTCCAGGGAGGCCAGGCTGGAGAAGACCTCGCCGGGCAGGTCCCGGAGGGAGCTGCCATCCAGCCCGAGCCACCGGAGGCTGCCCAGGCCTTGGAAGAGCCCCGGGCGGAGGCTGAAGGGCCCTTCCCGGCTGGGGTAAATGTCGGAGAGATCCAGGGAGAGGAGGCCAGCCAAGGGAGCCAGCGAGAGGTTGAGGAAGATGCCGCCAGGGTTGTCCCTCAGGTAGAGCTCCTGGAGGTTCCCCAGCCCTTGGAAGAGTTGGGAGGGCAGCCGGACGGGGGGCCGGGCCTCCTGCGAGCTGAGATCCAGGCACCGCAGGGCCGGCAGGCCGGCGAAGGGGGCGGGCGAGTCGTACTTGCTGTAGGCCAGGAGGCGGTTGCGGCTGAGGTCCAGGGTCTCCAGGGCCTTCAGGCCCAAGAAGGAGCCCTGGGAGAGTTTGTAGAGACCGTTCTGGGCCAGCGAGAGGTGGCGGAGGGAGGTGAGCCCCTTGAAGGCCCATTTCTGGAGGGTGAGGATGCGGTTGCTGGAGAGCAGCAAGGTGTGGAGATGGTGGAGGCTCTGGAAGGCGGACGTCTTGATGTACCGGAGGTTGTTGTCGCTCAGGTCCAGGGTCTCCACCTTGCGGGCGTAGACCAAGGTGTCACGGGTGACAGATGCCAACTGGCAGCCCTGCAGCAGTAGGGTCCTCAGGGAGGCCATGCCCAGAAAGGTCCCCTTATAGAGGTAGGTCAGGCGGTTCCTGGACAGGTCCAGGTGGGTCAAGGCGCTGAGGGGCCGGAAGACGCCGTCTTCCAGCTTGGTGAGGTGGTTGCGCCGCAGGACGAGGACCCGGAGCCGGGGCAGCGACCCGCCCCAGGCGCTCTGCTTCAGCTCCTGGACCTTGCACTTGTCCAGCGAGAGGGACTCCAGGTGGGGGAACAAGCGGAAGACGCCCCCCTGGAGCCGGCTCAGCGGGGTGGTGGACAGGTCCAGCCAGGTTAGGTTGGTGCAGGCGCCCAGTTGGGCCAGCCGGGATGGCGGGACCTTGGAGTGTTTGATGTCCAGGCTGGTCAGCGCCGGCAAGCTCTCCAGGACCTGGCAGGCCAGCCCCAGGTCCGAGTCCAGCGCCGGGCGCATGCTGGACCAGTGCAGGGCTGTAAGGTTGGGCAATGGCAGGCCCAGAAGATGGGAGATGTTGAGGGGGTTTTCGTCCAAACTCAGCTTCTCCAGGCCGGGCGCGGCGCGGAAGGAACCGGCCGCCAGCCGGCTCATGTTGTTGCGGGTCAGGTTAAGCGAGCGCAGGCCGGGCAGGGAGCAGCGGGTGAGATCCAGCCAGGCGATGCTGTTGTTCCGCAGGTTGAGGTCCCGCAGGAAAGGCATGGAGAGCAGGCCGGGGCCAGGGCACGGGGCGGAGATCCGGTTGGAGTCCAGGTCGAGGATGGAGAGGTTGGCCAATTTCCCGGCGGCCGTGGCCACCTCCTGGAGCCGGGAGAGCTGGTTGTGGGGCAGGTGGAGCTCCTGCAGGCCGGGCTGGGCCGCCAGGGCGGTGGGGTGGAGGGTGGCCAGGGCGTTGCCCCCCAGAAGCAGCACCCGCAGGCCCGTCAGCTCCGCCAGCGCCGTGGGGCCCAGGGTCGCCAGCCGGTTCTGACCGAGGTCCAGCAGCTCCAGCTCCCGCAGGCCCTGGAAGGCGCCGGTCTGCAGGGCGCGGATGCGGTTGCGGTCGAGCCGCAGCTCCCGCAGGCGGGGCAGGTGGGCGAAGGTGGCGGGCGCCAGGCCCTGCAGGGCGTTCTGGGAGGCGTTGAGCCAGAGGGTGGAGTTGGGCAGCGGGGCGATGGCCGGGCCCAGCTGGGTGATGCCGCGCCCAGCGCAACTGGCGTAGCCTGGCAGCTCGTACGGCAGCAGGCACCAGGTGAAGCCGAAGGCGCCGGCATAGCGGGCACCGGCGGCGGCTGCAAGGAGCCAGAGGGGCAGGGCCAGGGGCTGGGGCATGGCGGGGTGTGTGTGGGTGTGCTGGTCTGTGTGTGTGCTGCTCCCTGCTAGTTGTGTGTGTGCGTGTGGGTCTGGCACTGCCCCCTGCTGGCACAGCTCAGAACACGCCCTGCTTACATCCCCTACCCCGCCCACTGACCCCCGCACGCAGTGACCTCCACCCACTCCCGGCAATGAGTGACCTGGGGCGGGG